TATGCTTGCAAAATGCCCCGCAGCTGCGTTTCTGCAAGGCGAGCTAAAAAAAAAACAGGGAAAAAAAGGGAAGCCCAGCCAGGAGCCAGCCAGAAGCCAGCCAAACCCAGCCAGAAGCCAGCCACAACCAAACCCAGCCAAAAGCCAGCCACAACCAGCCAAAAGCCAGCCAGGAAGCAGGAGCCAACCAAACCCAGCCAGAAGCCAGCCAGGAGCCAGCCAAAAGCCAGCCAGAAGCCAGCTACAAAGTCGCCTTGCAGAAACAAAGGCAGCTGCGGGGCATTTTGGGAATTCCGACTTCGCTCTCCCACCGAGGTCGGAATTCCGACTTCGCTATTTTGTGATATGGTTCTCGCCAGATCACTGACAGAGTCGCCCTGCCGACAATCCTGCGCTAGGCACAGGATTGCCCCCGTCAATCCTGCGTTGGACACAGGGTTGCTCCACTCAACCCTGCGCTGGCAACAGGATTGCCCCTGCGTGCCGGCCTTTAGTTTCAGAAGGACAAATTGGGAAGATCAAGCTTTTTCCCACGACCGAGTACACCAGCAAGCAATCCTCGGACCCCGCGGTGCCCCTGGTGCCGTGCACCGGCATCTTCCTCGGGCCTTCCAAATCGGGCAAGACCGTGGCTCTGATCAGCTTGATTCTGGAGTAGTATCGAGCGTCTTCGAGAGAATCTACATCTTCAGCCCTTCTATCAACATAGACGACAGCTGGATCCCCGTCAAGAAGTACATCGCTGGGGGTGAACACAGAGAGGGAGCAGGCCTACTGGGACGAGTGGGACGAGCCGGCGCTGCGGCGCATCATCCAGCCAAGAAGTTGGAGATGAAGAAGCTGTACCAGGTCCTGATAATCTGTGACGATATGGCCGACATGCCGCAGCTCCACAAACCCAACGGCGCCCTTGACACGCTCTTCATCCGAGGCCGTCACATGCTGATCAGCACCTGGGTGAGCTCCCAGAAGCTGAGGCTCATCAGCGCAGCCGTGCGCGTGAACATAAAAGCTGCTGGAGGCTGCGCAACCAGCACGAGCTGGACGCCGTCGAAGAGCTCAGCGCCCTGCTGCCGAAGGAGCAGCTGTAGCGTTTCGCACTCGAGAAAGACGCCGATGGGAGCGGCGCTCAGCTTCCTGGGCCAGAAGCTGTTCGCCAGCTCCACGCTGATCAACGCGAAGTGTGAGAACATCTCCTGCTGCGCCTCCGTCGCAGCCGTCCAGTCGCCCGTCATTCGCCGGGTGGAAGGTCAGCAGGTCTCTCTCATTCACAACGATGGGAAAGTTACTCCGTCTGGTCATCTGCTCGCCAAACAACAAAGATCTTCGTTCTGGTCGTAGTTCTATCGACCTAGGAGAGTCGCTGCACCTGCAGAGCGACGCCCGGCTGGCCGTCTACAAAATCCGATTGGCCGACGACAGCTTTCTGTCGACTGACCGCGGCCGCTAGCTACTGGGTCGACGCCTTGCTCGGCACGCTGAACTGGGCGCTGCTGCCCAAGGGCGCCTATACGGGCGCCCGGCTGGCCGCTCCAACTTCGCCGCTGCCACCAACAGCAAGACCACGAACAGCCTGAGCGTCGCCTACGACGGCAACCGGCTCATCCTGAATGGCCTCGAGCTGCGCCAGCAATTTCCTGACGCGGCGGACTACCCAGCCGCGCCGGCCGCCTCTCCGACCTCAGCGTGGACCACACGCTGGGCCCAAGCTTCGTTTGTAGCGGGCAGCAGGTCTCTTTAGAGGGGGTTTTCCAAATGGATTCTATTCTACCTGAGAGGCTCCTAGCACTTGTCCGTCCAGGAAACGACCTCGTCCTGCGAAGGATTCGAAGTCTAAAACGCTGCGTGGAGGCGTGTGGCTGCAAAATAATGACCCCTAGATATGCTTGCAATTTGGCTCCAGGTTGCATTTCAAGCGAGCCAACCTTCGCAGGGCTAAGAAAAAAACAAAAAAACAGAAAACAAGGGGTCCCAAAAAAGGGGTCCCAAAAAACAAGGGAAAAGGGGCTTCCTTTGGCAAAGCTTGACATCGCTTGAAATGCAACCTGGAGCCAAATTGCTGCGCATATCTAGGGGTCATTATTTTGCAGCCACACGCCTCCACGCAGCGTTTTAGACTTCGAATCCTTCGCAGGACGAGGTCGTTTCCTGGACGGACGAGTGCTAGGAGCCTCTCAGGTAGAATAGAATCCATTTGGGAAACCCCCTCTAAAGAGAGAGCTTGGCCTGCTCTGCAAAGGAGCGCGCTCTGCAAAGAAGCGTGCTCTGCACAGGAGCGCGCTCTGCAAAGAAGCGTGCTCTGCAAAGGAGCGTGCTCTGCAAAGGAGCGTGCTCTGCAAAGGAGCGTGCTCTGCAAAGGAGCGTGCTCTGCAAAGGAGCGCGCTCTGCAAAGAAGCGTGCTCTGCACAGGAGCGTGCGCTGCAAAGGAGCGTGCTCTGCAAAGAAGCGTGCTCTGCAAAGGAGCGTGCTCTGCAAAGGAGCGTGCTCTGCAAAGAAGCGTGCCCTGCAAAGGAGCGTGCTCTGCAAAGAAGCGTGCTGTGCAGAGGAGAGTGCTCTGCAAAGAAGCGTGCTCTGCAAAGGAGCGTGCTCTGCAAAGGAGCGTGCTCTGCAAAGGAGCGTGCTCTGCAAAGGAGCGTGCTCTGCAAAGCAGCGTGCTCTGCAAAGGAGAGTGCTCTGCGCAAGATGTTTAGTTCCGCCGACGTGCAGGGCAGCTTGGGGCTCCGGGCGTTCTGCTCCATAACGCCGGATGCCACCCGGCTCCAAGTGGGCTGCGCTCTCCTCAGCGTCTTCTTGCTGTCTCCCTGCAGCGCACGCTGTTAAAGACCTGCCGCACGGCGCAACGTGGTTCAGCTTGCAGGCGCCGGCCGTCAGCCCGCAGCCGCACAGGGCGCTTAGAGTCTTGTGCCTTCTCCCCAGCTTATGGCCGTTGGAACATCCAAGGTGGCCATTCCGGCGCAATACTCCGGGCTAAGGCAAGGCGAGCACAAGGATCCAAGAGCAGCACGAGGTGCTGCAGAGGTGGTGCAAGGCGCTGGGGCAGAAGTGCCGGTGCCTGAGGCTGGCGCGCAAGATCTTTTTGAAGCTGCTTAAGGCAAAATAAGAGGTGTTTGGCGCGGCCCTCTTGCGCAGGTTCTTGCCAGAACAGCTTTGGCTGCAGGTCCGCGGCGTTAAAGCGCCTTCACTTGCCGTTGGGCGGCAGGTTCTGTCTTGGTTCGGTCCCCGCTTTACGGCCCTGTACATGTTGCAGTCCGTCAAAGGCCAAAAAACAAACGGTGCGGCTCTCTCTTTATAGAGGGGGTTTCCCAAATGGATTCTATTCTACCTGAGAGGCTCCTGGCACTCGTCCGTCCAGGAAATGACCTCGTCCTGCGAAGGATTCGAAGTCTAAAACGCTGCGTGCAGGCGTGTGGCTGCAA